CCAGTCCTTCATTACCTTAAACGAAATTGGGTGAATGCATCTCATATTACTGATTTATTTGTAGACTCTAAACTCTACTTAAATACAAAAAATTTTGATTTAGCCAAGAGCGAATCAGTGAGCCATACACAGTGTTCATTTGTCTAAGGTATAATGACAGTAGTTAGGCGGAAAAATGATAAGTAGGAACAGAAAGTTCGAGGTAAAAAGGGGGGGTCGCTGGTGATGTTGATAAGACTTAGGCGAGGTTTAAACTGTAGTCTACACAGGATCAGAACACCTTTTGATAAAACAATGCTATGTGAAATTTAATGGAAATGTCATTTCTACTCATATCATTGTGGGAAAATTAAACTACCAGTCCTTCATCACAGTAAACTCAATAGGATGAATAAATCTAATATAAATGAAATACAAGTGTGCCTCATTTACAATCTCATCATATGTGTGATGTATCGGAGCGCCTTGACTTGCCTTAAAAGTAACATCTGCCCTGGTACTCAATGGTGCAGTGGCAATGTGTCTTCGTTTTAAGAGCACGAGCCGCATCTAATTCCCGATGGGAATGCTGATGATACTCAGACGAGGTCGAAATTACGGTGCACATTAGATTAATAATAACTTTTTCACAAGCAAGACTAAATGAAATTAAATTGAAGCGTGGGACCGACTTATATTAGTCCGAAAATTCAACTAGCATTCCTTCGTCACTTAAGGTGACCTAGGCTGAATGAAATTGTTATTTACGATCTAATGGTAGTCTCAAAGCCTATTTAGAAAAAGTACTATTATCATATTAGCCTGAGTTTTAGAAATTTTACCCGGAAGCCTAAGGAAAGTATTTACGTAAAATAAAAGCTCACTTCCTCTAGTTGGCGTTGGATGCGTATAAGAGTCTGTTCATGGCTGGCTCGCACAAGGGCGTCATCAATGTGTTGACGTGAAGTAGGTTTCTTCGACTGAATCGGACTCAGTAGTGAACGAGGGGTGGCATCCAGAGCGTCTTCTGATGGTGGTTCGACCATTCGATCACTGGCTTTCTGGTGACTGTGGCGTAAATGACCAGACTGGTCGCCTTTTTGAAAACTGGCCTCATTACAAGCACGGTTGATCAGAGAGGCTGTCAAACGTAGCTCATTGCTTTTTCGGTTACCGGAAACAGAATGAGCTGAAAAATGATCAAAGTGAATAACCGATGATGCAGGATTATGTCAAATTCATTAGAATACTAGAAAAGTTAAATAAAGCTGAAAGTAAATCCCGAATGAAAGAGGCAATATCCTTTATTCGAAGGTATGAAGACCAAGATGGTGTGGCCTTTTTGTGTGGTCGCAGTCTCCTTTCGTTGTATAGAGGTTGTTTGACCTTGTTTTCGTAACATGGTCATAATGGTAGGAAGACCTATTGGAACGCAACTAGTCCGGGGTCCATTGTCTGCATGATCATTTCCAAAGTTGAACCGTGGACGTGGAA